TTTGAAACAGAGGCTCACTCTGTTACCCAGGCTGGAATGCAATGGCGCGACCTCGGCTTACTGTAACCTCTGCCTCCTTGGTTTAAGTGATTCTCCTGCCTCAGCCTCCCAAGTAGCTGGGACTACAGGTGCGTGCCACCATGCCTAGCTTATTTTTATATTTTTAGTGGAGATGGTGTTTCCCTATGTTGACCATGCTGGCCTTGAACTTGTGACCTCAAGTGATGCACCCGCCTGGGCCTCCCAAAGTGCTGGGATTATAGGCTCGAGCCACCGTGCCAGCCGAGAGTTTTATTTTGGACTTTAAAATTGAACTGTCTTTTAGACAACCAGAGAGCAGTCAAGTAGTCATTTGGTTACTCAGCAAATTCCAGGCACAGCTGGAGATAGACATAAGGTAGTTTATAGCATGTAGCTGCTGCCTAAAGCCAGGTCATTTGATGTGAGAATAGACAGAGGCCTTCAACTGGGATGTGGGACCAGGTGATTCAGCATTTGTAAGTTGTACAAAAGCAGAGCCAGAGTTGACCAAGAAGGACTGCAAGGAGTTAGTTATGTTGATGGCTGCTATGAGGTCAAGTAGTCATAGAATACAATTTTCTATTAATTAATTTTTCAGTCCCTATTGTTAAATATTTGTGTTTATTCTGGTTTCTTTTCCACTATTATAAACACTTCTTCAATGATTGAGGATAATCTGTTTACTTTTGTTTCTTTAGAAACAATTTTTAGACACAAAATTTTTAGTTCAAAGGTCATAAACATTTTTAAAGCTTTTGAGACATGCTAAATTGTCCTTCAGAGAAACTAACCAGTTTATATTTCCATCAACATTGAAAGTGTCAGACTGGTAAGCAGTACTGTTAATTTTATTTAATAACATTGATCAGGGCAGATGGAGACGTGCAACAAATGGAATAGGAAGACAGGACTTCTTTCTGAGATGGCACTCATTACATTCTAATTTAAAATGGAAATTTTAACAATTAGAAGTGAAAAGTAATTGTTATCTTTTCATCCAGATATGGTAAACTACAAAATACATTGTCACTGGGCTAGTTTCGTATAACGTACTCATACTTCTCTTGGTAAGACATGTACCACAGAGAATTGCTTTCAGTGTGCTTATATTTCTTCCCTCAGCAGAAGTAATTGCTTTTTTTGAAATGTTTTGAGAGAAGAGAGATCTTTGAGAAAGCACCTGTACAAACTGCTTTCTCTGAAGATACAGCAGAGTATCTGACTTTACAAAAGAGGAAAAAGTCAGCTGATAGTGTCCAGATTATTCCATCTAAAAAGAGAAACACTTAGCCTTGTTCTGGGCAATTGCAATAGTTCCTAAATGGCCTTACTGTCCTTCTGCTGCTGCTTCTAACCTTTCAACCTCCCAGTAGAGTTGTTAGCACTTCTAAGGCCTTGACACTTGCTAGTACCTCTACCTGGAATGCTCTTCCTTCAGATACCTACCTGCATGGCTTGTTCTCTTGAACTCCTCAAGTGTTTGGTCAAATGTTAACTGTTGCTGAGTAAACCTCTCCCTTATCCTTTACCTGCTTTCCTTTACCTTCATAATGCTTGCATGCCACCTTTCACCTATGTAATATTTATCTGCCTCTCCATACTAAAATACAAGATCCATGACGTCTGAGATGTTGATCTCTTTTGGTCACTGTCCGAAAATAATAACTGCACATCGTAGACACTCAGTAAACATTAATGAATTAATAAATGACTGGACTCTTCAACCCTCAACTGTAGTTGAGCTCTTTAGACTCTGTAAGTGTGAAAACAGCTGACCCATAGGATAAAGACCAGGTTCAGTATCACTCACAAAACCTTTTACAGCATGGTCTGGTCTCTTAAACCTTGTGTCCTACTTGACATGATTGAAAAAGGCACATCGCCCACATTGTGTCTTTTACGGAGAATGACCTTCTCTTCCTCTGTCAGTTTCTCCTGTTTTTCAGGAGCCAGTGCAAATGTTGTTGCATGTGTTTACAGGCAGAATTCCTTCCTCTCTTCACTCTTCCTGAGATACTGGATTCATGCCTTCATTATAGCACTTACGACAAAGGATCATAATTACTTGTATCTCCTCCCTAGAATAGTATCTCATAGTACCTACAGCCAAGAAGTACTTAAGATACTAGATAAAAAGAATTTGAGGGATAAGGCATAAATATATCAGTTTTACCAACTGTTCTGTGAATTTATTTCCTGTTACTTATAAATCTGTGTATATATTTACCTTCCATAAAAGAATATACTTATACATTTTAAGAATGTAGATTTTTTAAATAGATTTTTATCTCAGAGTTTGAAACCGTTGCCTCAAGTGAATTGATTTAAATTTTCTCGGTTGTTGCTTGCTTTCATCTTAGGCCGAAATTTTAGCATTAATAGTACAATAAATACTTGTAAACATGTCTTTTAAAAACTAAATTAGGTATAATTGTAGTAATATTTATTTGATATATACAGTTATTTTATAAGGGTTAAAAAAACTGAATGATGTATCTTTATGCTTAGGGAGTGTAGCCTTCAATTAGGAAATTGATTGTTTTTACTATTTTGTGTCTGATTTGATGGAAAAATTATGTAAGTTACATATTATCTGCTCAGAAACTGTCATATAATAAAATATTTAATACTTGAGCAAAATAGAAATCACCTTGATTTTCTGAAATGTTTAAAAAGTCTTGAATTTAAAAGCATTACATTTTTTTTAAAGTGATTTTTCTTAAATGTCTAAGATGTTAGGAAATTAATGGTATTTTAGCTGGCTAAATTGGCTAGTGACACTCTTTAATAGGTTTTCCACTTGACCTTTTAAGCGCTACTGGCATTTCTAGAGTTACCTAAAACACAAGACTTATCTTGTTACCTTGTTTAAAATCTAAATTGTTCCTCCTCACTTTACCTGTATAGCCCTGATTTAAGTGATTTTGTTTCATGAGGAAATGAAATAATAAATAATTTAGCATTTCAAAAAGTTTCTGAGGCAAGTAAACAGAGTAGAACTAATAATCTGATTTTAACTATTTATGATGTCTCATTTTACTTCAAATCTTGAGTTTTTTTGTAGGACTGTAGAACTTTTTTTGTTAATTATGCCCAGGCAGCATTATACCCAGTCACCTGAGTTAGACTTCTTGACTCTCTTTATGCCATTACTAGTGAGTCAAAAATGTGTTCTTCTCCTTTGGGTCATCAGTTTCACTTCACTTTCTTCTTTCCAGTAGCATAACCTAAATTCATGTTCTTACCTTTTGCTTAGACTACCTGTCGTAATAGGCATGAAGTAGGCATGAAGTGCATTTTTACTAAGCCATATCCTACCCAAACTCCTTAGTCTTCAAGCGGCTTCACCGCTGGATCTGGTGTGCTTTCCCGTCCTAGCTACTCTCCATCTAGGTACATTCACTTCACATTATTCAGCATTTCCCGTATCTACTTTTACTTTTTCACATATTAGCCGTTTGTACAAGTTGTCTTATCTATCCAAGATGTAAAATACTTTAACTCTTTTCTGCCTGACTGAAATATTTCTTCAAAAATATTTGTTGTTGTCTCCAATATGCTCCTATAGCTCCTTAGAGCACCTGGTGGGTGCTTTTAAAAAATATTTATGGCCGGGCGCGGTGGCTCAAGCCTGTAATCCCAGCACTTTGGGAGGCCGAGACGAGCGGATCACGAGGTCAGGAGATCGAGACCATCCTGGCTAACACGGTGAAACCCCATCTCTACTAAAAAATACGAAAAAACTAGCCGGGCGAGGTGGCGGGCACCTGTAGTCCCAGCTACTCGGGAGGCTGAGGCAGGAGAATGGCGTGAACCCGGGAGGCGGAGCTTGCAGTGAGCCGAGATCGCGCCACTGCACTCCAGCCTGGGCGACAGAGCAAGACTCCGTCTCAAAAAAAAAAAAAAATTTTTTTATTTGTTCAGTAAGTAATGTCTTCTGTGAGCCACTGTATTTTGTGATAAATGAGAATCCCTGCAGTTAAAAAAGTGTTATCTACCAGACAGCACAGAGCTTATAGTGATTATTTATGTACATATCTGAGTCCTGCATTAGTATTTGACTCTCTGAAGACAGGCACAGTTTTTTTGTTTTTTTTTTAGTCACCTGTCTTGACACATACATTATTTTAAATGAGCTTAAGTCTGAGAAGGGACCTTGAACATCATCTAGTTTGGCTCCCTTATTTTGTAAATTTTATGGGGTGGGGAGAAAACTGAACTGAAAAAGATTATAGGATTTGCTTAAATGGATTTACAAGAAGAAGGATTAGAACCTTGAGATTACTTGATATGGATGATTTATGGGGTTGACCTCAGAAACTTAACCGTGATTCATATTATTTTGTAGCTCACACCTGCTTCTTAAGAAAGTTTAAGAAGAGACACTTGACTGAAGTGATTTGTTAAGAAAGTAGCAAGGGGGTGATGTTAACCCTCAACACATTTCAGAATGTCGAAAGATATTTTTAGTTGTTGAGGTGGTGTAGGGAGGAGGTGTTACTGGCATCTAGTGGGTAGAGGCCAGGATGATGCTAAATATCCTGCAATGCACAGGATGTCAATAATGCGAAGGTTGAGAAACCCTGAGTTAGAAAATAATAGGGAATTGGGTAGAAAGTGAGTATGCTTGTAAGAGTATTTGAAATTAACTGAAAACAGAAAGATTGGCAAAATGGAAGCTGTAGCATGAATAGTTCTCCTTAAGGTATAGAAAGGTACAGAAAGGAAGTGGTGAAAAGTACTGGATCAGCCAGTTCTTTTACTGGCTTATCATCTGCTTTCACGGGTCAAAATTGCCAAACCTCTCAATGTGTATGAATAAAGTAGGAGTTTGGCTTTTCTTATGAATGAATATTTCTAAACGGGTATCTGAAAATTGAGGAGCATCTGTGCAAGAAAATTAAAAATTAACATTTTGTATTATATGGATTGATTTTCTTTTTTTAAACAATAGGTAAGTTTATATTCTAACCAACTAGGATTTTTCTCAGGAGCACATGGATGAAGTATGCTCCTCGCAGCTTTTAACTTCAGTAAGGCGCATGGTTTTGACCCTTACCCAGCAAAATGATGAGAGCAAAGAGTTTGTAAAGTTCTTTCATAAACAACTTGGAAGTATATTACAGGTAAGAGTTTATACTTGTATGATTTACCAATATGTACTATGTGGTAAGGTTTTTGTGGGGGGCGGGGGCGCAGTGAGGCCTTTTCTTGCATTGTACAATTTATTCAGGTGGATCTAGTATCCATTTGGGATGATGTTTTAATACTTTTTAGGTTGTCACTTGGTTAAAATAATATTGTATTATTAGGCCCTGTTAGTATCTTCATTTAATTTGGTCATGTCTAAGGCATATCTCTTACAAGCTTTTATTGGTTTGGTTTATCTTCTCAATGAAAACGTTTTTAGTTTGAAATGTTTAGAAAGTATTCTGTGACTGTTTCTAAAATAATTGGCTAAAGTAATTTGACTAATCTGGGAAATTTCGGAAGCCAGAGACCAGCTGGTTGTAGAGACTTCTTAGGCTGTATCAGTACGCTTAAATTAAAGTAAGTCAGTAACTGGGGGAGAATTTGCCTACTGGGAGACATTTAGCAGTGTCTGCAGACATTTTGTTTATCACAGCAAGTAGTGTGAAGAAGGTAGGGAGGGCTGAGAGGAGGACAGGTACTGGCAACTAATGGGTAGAGACCAGGAAGAATCTTGATAAACATTTGACTGTACATGGGACAGTCCCCCACAACGAAGTATTATCTGGTCCTAAATGTCAGTAGGGCCAAGGTTGAGAAATCCCATGTTAGTGTTAATAAAATTACCTTGTTTGTTCCTTATGACAAACATCTTTATGTTTACCCGAGTATTTGCCCATTGAGACAGTTCAGTGATACGTATTTTTACTCTACATTAGGTGACACATTTTTCTTTTCGTCTTTATTACAAAATTTTCTAATGAAACTTTGCCTTGTTATTTCTTTGTTTAAACTGGTTTTAGATAATCGGTATTAACTTTTTCCTTGGGCTTGATGCAAATTTATATCGCTGTAATTTTCCATTTTGTTAGTATTAAGACTAAAGTATAAATTGTCCTGGCCCCATTAGTACTAATTAGTAATTAGTACTAATAGATAATTTATAAGGACTATAAGACATCAGTGGTGTTGTGCATTGTAGGAACCTCCATTTTAGAATAACACTAAAAGATAAATAATCATTTAAATATTTTTTATTAAGATCCATGTAGCCCTTCCTCAGTTTTGCCTTCTATGATAATTGTGGGTAGATCCCAAAGCATTAATTTGGAAATAAGACTTTTTTTCTCAGTCTGAGGTTTGACTGCTTTTCTTTTATCCCATTCTTGATTTTTCCACAAGAGGACATACATGAAGAATAAAAGTAAATTTATATTAAATATTGCCCAGAGTGTTGAAAAATTTTTATGAGCTAGAGCTTAAATTACCGTCTTCTACATTTTTCCTTCTGAAACCCGTTCAGGATTTTTTTTCCCACAAAGCACCCAGCATATGTACGTTTTTACCATAATTGTACTAGATAAGATAGTCTTTTGGTGGGAGAGAGCGTTAGGCATTGAACATCATAGTTGTTTGCCTGTTTGCTAAATAGTGTAGTCCATATTTTTAGAAAGAAAAAGAGGAGTGGTTTTACTAAAAATGTCTAGAGTATACTTACTTGAAGATTCTCAACCTAAAATAATCAAAAGGGTCAGAATCTACTTTAAAAAGAGTTGATTCAAGCGCAGTGTGTGAGGGATAGCTGCCTGGGAAGCACAGATTCCAAAGAATAGACATCAGAAGTTTGGGATCATTATATCAGGGGTCCCCAACCCCCAGGCTGGTGAGCAGCAGGCGAGTGAGCAAAGCTTCGTCTGTATTTACAGTTGCTCCTCATGGCTCTCATTACTGCCTGAGCTCCACCTCCTGTAAGATCAGCAGCAGCATTAGATTCTCATAGGAGAGTGAACCCTTCTGTGAACTGCACGTGTGAGGGATCTAGGTTACATGCTCCTTATGAGAATCTAATTCCTGACCTGTCACTGTCTCCCATCACCCCCAAATGAGATCATCTAGTTGCAGGAAAATAAGCTCAGGGCTCCCACTGATTCTACATTATGGTGAGTTGTATAGTTATTTCACTATATGTTACAATGTAATAAAGGGCATAATCAATGTAATATGCTTGAATCATTCTGAAACCTTCCCCCAACCTATGTTTGAGGGAAACATTGTCTTTCGTGAAACCAGGTCCTGGTGCCAGAAAGGTTGGGGACTGCTAATTTATCTGGAGAGAGTTTAGGGAAGCTTAACAGAATTTCATCATCTTTCTATATAAGGCTTAATGCGTAGTAAAGGAGGCAGTTAATCTGTAACAAAGATCAGTGGTTAGAAGGCAGGAGGTCTGGTCTCTGATGTCTCCTAGTCATTTACAGAACAAGAACAATGAGGAAGAGAGTTAATGTATTGTCTAAGAAGGAGAAATCACCAACGTTCAAGTTGCCAGGGCTTAATTTCCTCCTTGATATAATCTAAATGTAGAGGGTCTTGAAATCCTGTTTTCTTTTACATGATCCTGTATATCAACTTGAATAGAACTTAAGTTTACTTTTGAAGAAAAATTTAAATTAGAATGGTTGGCTTAAGTAAAGAAGGAATCTTTAAAAGTATACTAATGGTGCATTTAGAGGTGGAAGATTTTGTCTTTTCCTTTTGTAGCACTTACACATATACTACAGCAATAAATAGTATCTCCTGTACTGTCAGGGAGCTTTCTGGTATCAGAAATCCCTGTCTGAATACATTTGTGCCCAGCAGTTACATCAAATAGTGACTAAATATAGATGACCATATATGTCCTTCCCTTGTATATACTCTTTAAGCAGGACTAACAACATTCCTACTTAGTAATATAGCAGTATTCTTTACTAATACTAACCTATCTTTCCTTAGTAATCATAAACATTAGTTTTAAGTTTTTCAGTACTTAAAAGTAATTGAAGTTCACTATCTTTAAATTATTTGGTTTATGTTTAAATAGGATTCACTGGCAAAATTTGCTGGCAGAAAACTGAAAGACTGTGGAGAAGATCTTCTTGTAGAGATATCTGAAGTGTTGTTCAATGAATTGGCTTTCTTTAAGCTTATGCAAGATTTGGATAATAATAGTATAACTGTTAAACAGAGATGCAAAAGGAAAATAGAAGCAGCTGGAGTGATACAGTCTTACGCCAAAGAGGTAGATAACATTCATTTTGATTTTAGGATAATTGGCACATAAATACAGTTCTTAATCATTATTATTAACTGAAATCACATTTTACCTCAGCAAAAGTAGTTGTTTTTTGTAATACCAGTTAATCACATTATAAGTCATTACATATGCTAGTCACTTATGGAATTTGAAGAGTAACAGCAGTTGCTCAAGATCAGGAATGCAGACAGAAATTGATGTTAAATGTACATTGTCAGATAATTGTCAGATAACTAGTTCACATTACTGTCCTGTATTCAGGTCTCAGGAGAGGAGGACTGGGATCTGGTCCTGGACCAGACCCAGCTGCCTGCCATGGTTGTTATCAATCCCTGTAGATTCTTGGAGAATATGCATTACCCAGAGGTCACTCCCAGTTAACACAAATGCTTATTAGTTAGGGCTTTGGTTTTACATCCCTGTAGTTTGTTCTACCTTGTCAAATTAATTTTGATCACGTGAGATTGGATGACTATTCTGCCTCAACTTGAGGCATACCAGGAAGCCTTTTCCTGACCCTCTTTTACGAGAAGGAAACAAGCCAAGACCCAAACAGAAAGAGATGGCTCTTTTTCCTTACAATCTAAAGTAGACGAAATCAAGCTATCCATTTCACACTTTTCATGATGTTTATTTTCTGGATATAAATAAATTTTAGACATTGCTAAGAGCTTGAAGAAAATAAAAGCATGATACTGTAATAAATGATTAGAAAGTAACACAGGATAGGCTCAGGTCTATAATCCCAGTATTCTATAATCCCAGTACTAGACATGAGAACTGCTAAATATGTAAGTATGTGTCTAAGTATATTGCTAAATTCTGTGTAATTGGTTTGTTTTAAAGGCCAAAAGGATTCTTGAAGATCATGGCTCACCTGCTGGAGAGATTGATGATGAAGACAAAGTATGTGCTAATTAATTTTTGCCTAAAAATATGGCCGGGCACAGTGTCTCAAGCCCGTAATCCCAGCACTTTGGGAGGCCAAGGCGGGTGGATCATGAGGTCAGGAGTTCCAGACCAGCCTGGCCAACATGGTGAAACCCCGTCCTTACTAAAAATACAAAAATTAGCCAGATGTAGTGGTGCGCACCTGTAGTCCCAGCTACTCAGGAGGCTGAGGCAGGAGAATTACTTGAACCTGGGAGGTGGACGTGGTATTGAGCTGAGATCATGCCACTGTATTCCAGCCTTGGCAACAGAGTAAGACTCTGCCTCAAAAAGAAAAAAAAAAGCCTAAAAATAATGCTTTTGAAACAATATAAAATTATTTTAACAGCTTTTACCTTAATGTTTGAAAGCAGACTGTATCATCAAATGACCTTTTTTCTGACAGATTTTTTTGTTTTAAAAATAAAACTAGACTATTAAAAATGGTTCTTTGTGTTTTTTATTAGATAATGATCATTATTAATATGATAGACTTACTATATAGCTTTTACACATGTACTTTAAGGAATTAATTACTCAAATATATTTGTGTCTAGGACAAGGATGAAACTGAAACAGTGAAGCAGACTCAAACATCTGAGGTGTATGATGGTCCCAAAAATATAAGATCTGATATTTCTGATCAAGAGGAAGATGAAGAAAGTGAAGGATGTCCAGTGTCTATTAGTAAGTTTAAAGGCTCTGTACTATCTTTATATTTTAGTTTTTTGTAGGTCATTTATTGGAACAGTTTGGTGGAGTATAACAAGTATAGAATTAAGTGTCAAAGAACTCTGATTTTGAATTTCACTGTAACCCTGAATTATCCGGCCTTTCTGCACTGTACGTTTTCTAATACATACTGTTTGAAGATTTCAGATACTGTATATAAAGCATCTGTGTCAGGCAGGAATGCAATAAATGGTAGCCGTTGTTAAGATTATGTGCTGAAATCTACTAAAAATTGTGTGTTAATCAACTTAGATTTGTCTAAAGCTGAAACTCAGGCTTTAACTAATTATGGAAGTGGAGAAGATGAAAATGAGGAAGAAGAAATGGAAGAATTTGAAGAAGGCCCCGTGGATGTCCAGACTTCCCTTCAGGCTAACACTGAAGCTACCGAAGAAAATGAACATGATGAACAGGTATTCCCATTAGCCTTATTTTAACTACTCAAAGTAGATCCTTCTAAATTTTCAGCTTTCATGAATGGAAGCCTGATTAATATGCTTATTAAAATCTGAAATACCAGGGGTTTTTTTATAATTGTTTTTCAGAGACAGGGTCTTGCTCAGTCTTCTGGGCTAGAGTGCAGTGGTGTAATTGTAGCTCACTGCTCATATCCTCAAACTCCTGAGCTCAAGCGATCCTCCCACCTCAGCCTCCCCCCAAAATTCTGGGATTACAGACGTGAGCCACCACACCCATCCAATAGTTTATACATTTTAAATTATACACTGTTTTTTAGTGGTGTGATTAAATCTCACACCAGCCCACTCCTTCCTTTTTGAGTTGTGAGTCATTCCATTATCCAACATGTCTACACTGTGTACACTACCTGCTTGTTAATCACTTAATAGCCATCTAGGGTAAGCAGATAGATTTGCAGTATCACAGTGTTCAAACAGCCCTTATTAATGGCCCCAAAGCACAAGAGAATTGTTCTGTTTTATTATTAGTTATCGTTAATCTCTCACTGTGCTCAATTTATAAATTAAACTTTATCATAGATAAGTATTTATGGGGAAAAACAGTGTAAATGGGGTTTGGTACTATCCACAGTTTTGGAACATACATTCTATGGATGAAGGGGTACTTTTTTATGTTATTTTCCTCCCTAGTCTAGATCTTTTCCTCTGGAGTTTGACATTTTACTGTGATGTGCCTTGTTGGGGAATTTTTTCATTATTTGCAGTGGATACTCAGTGAATTGTTTTCAACTTGGTAAATTTTTAAATTCTGTTTATTACTGCCACACCATTTTCTCTTTTTTCTCCTTCTGTACTTAATATTGTCAGATATTATTAGTACTCATGGATTAATCTTTTAATTTTCTCCTCTTTTCGTTATCTTTTGGTTTTACCTTGAGAGATTTTCTTTAACACTTGCATGAAATTATTTTTATTTCAGCTGTCATATTTTTAACTTCTAAACATTTTTCTGATTATTACTTTTTTGTAGTGCCCTGTTATTTCACAGAAGCATTATCTTCTGTTTTCAAATGTCTGCTGAACCTTGGTTGTTTATATTAAACAATGATATACCAAAAAGCACGTTAAGGCTCTTTTGGGCTTCACTGTAGGTAGGGCATTTGGGGAGACAGCCAGCGTATTCCTAGAAACTTGTAAATGTCAGTATCTATTGGTCTTTTCTTTGAGGTGGTTTAGATTCTCCAAATTAGGATGCTTCACTGTCCTGCCTGGAGTATATAAGCTTGGCTGCTGGTATTCTGAAGCTAGATTGGGAATGGGGCTGAGGTCCCACCGTTTTACAGGCATGCACTAGATTATTCTGTTTTCAGTATTCTATTTAGGTTGGTGCAGAAGTAATTGTGGTTTTGGTCGTTTTTTCAGTGGCAAAACCCACAATTACTTTTACACCAGTCCGATACTTTACTGTGTCCTCATTTGTCTCTCCACCTCTACTCCCAGTAGCCCCAGGTCTGCGGCTCACTAGTTTAATTTCTCTAAAATATAATCTGCCATTTTCTGTTGAGGTTGAAGGAGAGAACCTACGTAGTCACATGTTCCTTAAACAGTTTTAAACGACTACCACCACCACCACCGTTTCATCACCAGCTCCTGCCCGAACATCATATGCCTTTCTTTCTAGATCTGTTACTTACAGTTATGAGGTGAATCTCAATTTTTGTTTCCTCTCCCTGCTGAAGGCATTTAACTTTGTTCATCTTCCTGTCCTCACTTCCTCCTTCATTCCCTTTTTGGCTGCATTAAGTGTCCTTTAGAGTGAAAAAAAATGAACAATGCAGTCTATTTATTTCAGCTGTGTTATTTTGTGTGTGTGTTTTTTTAAGAAAAGAAGGAAACCCTTTAACTTAGCCATCTTGAAATCACAACCAAAGCCTCCTTCTTGAGATAGTTTTAGAAGATACTTTTAAATTTGTTTGTATGAAGTTCTTGGGTTGGACAAAAACTACACACTGGTAATCATCTCTTTTATAGTGACCATATATTTCAGGCCCTGCTATTAAAACATTTTTCCCTTTTAGGTCCTACAACATGACTTTCAGAAGACAGCAGAAAGCAAAAATGTCCCACTGGAACAAGAAGCCACTAGTAAAGGTAACAAATCTAAATAAGTCTTTGATTTTAAGATAATTTCCTTTATTTGCTTAAAAGCTAAAAAAAAAAACAAAACAGAAAACACCAAATTCTTAGTTTGAAAGTACTTTGAACCTGATGTATATTTTTCTTCTCCATATAAATCCTTTGTAGAAAACATAAGAATTTGTTTCTGTAAACAACAATAAAGAAAAGGTGACAAATATTTACCTGCACAGACAAAAATTCTGTAAAGAGCATTTTTAGATACAAATATGGGAAATTTAAAAAAGCCATTTGTAGGCCTTGTTCCTGAAAGTCCTGATTTGTTAGAAATGTGGATTTCAGGAATTTGATTCTTAAAATGCTCCCAGGTGATTTTGACCAACTAAATTTGGGAACCAATGATAAGGAAAATTTGTAGTTGCCTTTTCTCTTTGGTCTCAAGTGTCTTGATTGCTCTTACTCATGCATATTGTCTTTATTAGTAAAATAGAGAGTAAAATTTAACATTTTTTGCATTACATTAATATTAAGACTTTCTTTTGATGACAGATGACCAAGATAACTCTCCTGTGAAACCCTGTTACCTCAATATCTTGGAAGATGAGCAACCTTTAAATAGTGCTTCCCATAAGGACTCACCTGCTACTGTTGATTCAACTCCAGAGCCTAACCCTTTGCCGTTACCTTTACCTGAAATGGAACCTTTAGTGCCTAGAGTCAAAGAAGTTAAATCTGCTCAGGAAACTCCTGAAAGCTCTCTGGCTGGAAGTCCTGATACTGAATCTCCAGTGTTAGTGAATGACTATGTACGTATCATTTACATTTCCAAATGTTTTTACTTTTCATTTCTGTGCGTATTTCTTCATTTTTCAGATTAGCATTCTCAGCATGTAAACCATTTTGTGTTTAGGTTTAGAACATGTTGGAACATTTTTCTAATTCACACGTAAACTTTAGCAGAAGGGTAAGAGTGAATTAAGATGACCATCTCAAAACCCACGAGCTGTTTTATGTTTTATAATTTTGAGAACCAAAGAGATAAAAAGAATTCATTTTGGCCGGGCGCGGTGGCTCAAGCCTGTAATCCCAGCACTTTGGGAGGCCGAGACGGGCGGATCACGAGGTCAGGAGTTCGAGACCATCCTGGCTAACACGGTGAAACCCCGTCTCTACTGAAAAATACAAAAAACTAGCCGGGCGAGGTGGTGGGCGCCTGTAGTCCCAGCTACTCGGGAGGCTGAGGCAGGAGAATGGCGTAAAAACCCGGGAGGCGGAGCTTGCAATGAGCTGAGATCCGGCCACTGCACTCCAGCCTGGGCGACACAGCGAGACTCCGTCTCAAAAAAAAAAAAAAAAAAAAATTCATTTTAAGTTCGGATCTGAAGTGGTAATGGTACATGAATCATCATTTATCCTTTACACTACCTATTCTTCTCAACTGTTTAGAATATATTGCAAATTTTCAGTAAACCTAAAGGTTTACACTTGAGATAGGAAATAGAACAGTTTGACAACACAATCTTTATACAGTGAATGATTAAAAAAGGAAAAAAAGACTAGGAAATCTGTACTCATGATAGTATTAAATGAAAATTCAAGTGGAGCCCAGGTCTGAAAAATATTTGAGCAGAGAAAAGCAAAAGCCTTAAAAATAATTAATCTTGCTGAAATTGCAATCATAAGTGAAACTTCACTTGGGTCATTTCTGATAGATGCTTATGTTAGAACCAAAGCTTAACCCCAGCCTCTCATAAGTAGCCAGCTAACATACGGATATGACTAGGGACTTTCTGAGAAGGTACCTGATAAAAGACAGTTTTCTAATTGCAAACCAAGCAAATAATTTATTTTACTTCAACATTTTCCAAAGAAATACTTGTCTCTGATTTTTTTGTCAATGGAACACTAAATCTCTTTTGGTCTGGTGTTCGCAGTTCCTGAATTGCTTCTTACTCAAATGAACTCTAAAATTTTATTGTGCCTCAGATTTGTCTTTTACAGTTTGGTGTCAGAGTGGGATTTGAAAGAGACCCCCTGTGGCCTCTGGAAGCATCAAGGAACCAGGCAAAAGGTGCCCATTGTGCTCACTGCTTTCTCGCTGCATCTGGAGGTCCTGAGTAAGTCCCTCTCGGATTTCAGGCTCCACAGTTTGTATCCTGAGGTCTCTGAGTTTATTTGAGTAATTTTATTTTATTTTATTTTTTTTTGAGACGGAGTCTTGCTCTGTTGCCCAGGCTGAAGGGCAGTGGCGCGATCTTGGCTCACTGCAACCTCTGCCTCCCGGGTTCAAGTGATTCTCCTGACTTAGCCTCTCGAGTTGCTGGGATTACAGCTGCGTGCCGCCAAGCCTGGCTAATTTTTTCTATTTTTAGTAGAGACAGGGTTTCACTGTGTTAGCCAGGATGGTCTGGATCTCCTGACCTTATGATCCGTCTGCCTCAGCCTCAGTCCTGGGATTACAGGAAGTCCTGGGATTACAGGCATGAACCACCACACCCAGCCGAGTAATTTTATTTTTTACTGGATCCAGAGGTCGAACTAGATGTTTGACAGTAACTAGACTGGGTCCAGTTGGCAGCCTCAGGTAGGTGAAGTTTAGAAAAATAGAGTATTATGGGTTAATTAACACCTGAGGAGTCTGGGACCCCTCTTTCTAGAACTCTAGCAAATTTTATGTTTAGAAATTATGAACATGAAACTGCCTTTCTAGAGAAATGGTTACACTTTATCAGAGAAGAGTTAAAGTTACAGTGGAGAAGTTTTAATCTAGGTAAAATTGTTTATGGGAACATTAGAAAAGAAGGGATCCCAAATGCCTCAGAAACAGTGGGAAGCAATTTTTGATTTGTGTATAGAGGCTTCTAAAAGACATAATTCCAAAATTGCCTCTGTAAAAGATTCCTTACTAAAGGCAAATAAGACAGATGAAAAGCTTAAGCAATGAATTGACAACAAAAATAAAATGAATTATATGTAGGGAGTGACTTCACTCTGACCTGTTACTCTGCTTATCCTCCTCTAATTATTCTGAATCCAATAACCCATTTGTTCAGTCATCTTAATTCTTTTGCACAATTACCCTTTCACTCTGGATGATGTGACAGAAAGGAAGTTGGGCTAATGCTTTGCTTAGTTAGACCCTCAGCCAGCACACCGAGGTCTGGCTCCTGTAACTACTTTTACTTCTGGGTCAAAAGCTGAACTCAGAGCCATAGCAAAAGATTTTCCAAATCCCAAGGAAAATCCAAAACAGTTTGCTGAGGAATTTAGAATTAGAATGACCCTGGGCTTCTGGATTTCTGTCAGTTGATACGCATGATATTAGCCGCTGCGGAAGCAGGTTAATGGATGGCTATGGCAGGGTGGCATAAGCCTCAGAAGAGTATTGCCAACCCTTTAAGAGCTACTTCTGTGGATAGCCCAAAAGATGCTACTACAACAACCGGAAAACATCTAGAAGCTATCCCATGGTCTTTCCACAGAAGATTGACTAGTCCAAAAAGTTCAGTCTGTTTCTGATTACACGGCTAGATTGGAAATCTCATTTTTTAAACATTCTGGTCTTGAAATACAGCAGGGAGTATTTCCTGTGGGAATTGAAATGGTTTTTATGGTTTTATTCATTAATAGTCTCTGACTAGACTCTGGTCCCTTGATTAAAAAACACAAGATTGGATGGCAAGTCACTGATACGGCTAAATTAGTCACCATAGCTGAACATTTTGAGAGAACGTTAGAACTAGAAAAAAATCAGTGTCTGTAAACAGGTCATTGAAGAAAAGATTGTCCACTCTTGACCAGTCCTCTAATGGACCTACCCATTTTGAGCCAGACTATTTCCTCATTAGAGGAAGTTCCCAGGCTGGTCGGGAACAGTGGTTCACACCTGTGATCCCAGCCCTTTGGGAAGGCCAAGGCAGGCGGATCACCTGAGGTCAGGAGTTCAAGACCAGCCTAACCAACATGAAGAAACCCCATCTCTGCTAAAAATACAAAATTAGCTGGGTATGGTGGTGCATGCCTGTAATCCCAGCTACTTGGATGGCTGAGGCAGGAGAATCACTTGAACCTGGTGGGTGGAGGTTGTCATGAGCCAAGATCGTGCCATTGCACTCCAGCCTGGGCAACAAGAGCAAAAGTCCATCTCAAAAAAATAAAAAAAAAAGAAGTTCCCAAGGGCTTGACTCTGAAGACAGTAACACCAATGGGACATCAAGGGATTCTCTGGTATGTTATTCTCCATAAGACCTTAAATAAACATGGAGAAACTAAGATCAGCATCAGTGGGAGTCGTGTACAGTGTTGGTGGATACCTTATCCACTTTCAACCCCATCCTAGTAAATCAGCCAATCCCTTGGAGGAAAGAAAGTATGTCATGTTTCCAATCAAGTTCAGAGAATCCCCTGTGAACCAGTCCAAATGACGCTTGGACCGATCTCAGAAAAGCATGCCTTCCTACAGGGTGACAGTAAATTGAGAGGGCACATAAAGTTCTCTCTGGAAGGAAAGTTAATTTTAGAGCTTCCTGACCCTTCTAAACCTGAACTGCTCTGTTTCCTACAAGCAGGAATTGATCATATTGAAACTCACTCTTATACCAACCCAGACCTTTCTGAAATACCCAGATGTTTGTGGACTTGTTACTCAGCTGACAAAGGGAAGGTTAAAAGTGGTAAGCCTATAAAAATCCAAATATATTACTCTAAGCCATTGCCTAAATTGCCGTAATGCCCCCTAGAGTCAGAGGCAATCCAAAGGCTTTACCCAATTATAGAGGATTTAATAAAACAATTCCTTGTACTTGTCTCTATAATACTCTAATCCTACGGATAAAAAATCTATCACGCCTGTAATCCCAGTACTTTGGGAGGCTGAGGCAGGCTGATCATGAGGTCAAGAGATTGAGACCATCCTGACCAACATGGTGAAACCCCGTCTCTACTAAAAATATAAAAATTAGCTGGGTGTGGTGATGCATGCCTGTAGTCCCAGCTACTCAGGAGGCTGAGGCAGGAGAAATGCTTGAACCCAGGAGGTGGAGGCTGCAGTGATCCGAGATTGCGCCACTGCACTCCAGCCTGGCCAGAGAGCGAGATTCCGTCTCAAAACAAAACATATACACACACACACACACACGTATATACATATGTAATATATATACACATATATACATATATAATATACACACACATATATAATGTATACACACATATATACATATATATGAGACAAAGTTGGAGATTTATTCAAGACTTAACGTGCATTAAATAAAATTGTCAATCCAAGATTTCCTGCTGTTCCAAATCCTAACACTTTGTTTTCTAACGTGCCTACAGATTCTAAATGGTTCACAGTGTGATAGATCTTTGCTTGGCCTTTTTTAGTATTCCAGTAAGCCAGTAGTTGTCTGCTTGTACCTGAAAAACCAGCAATATACTTGGACTGCAATGCCACAGGGGTTCGCTGAAGCTCTATCTTGTTTTTCTCAGACATTATACCAAGACCTGTCAACCTTACAATTCTCTAGAAATTGTATTCTGTCTATATGTAGATCATCTTTTACACTTTTAGCTTACGAGGGACATAAGGCCTCAATGGCAAAACTTTAGAGCTGCTGTCCCCAGCCTTTTTGGTACCAGGGACTGGTTTCATGGAAGACAATTTTTCCATAGACTGGGTAAGGGGGATGGTTTCAGGATGACTGAAACGCATTACCTTTATTGTATACTTTATTTCTATTATTGTGTTATATAATGAAATTGGTATACAACTCACCACAATGTAGAATCAGTGGGAGCCCTGAGC